GACTCGAAACGTCAGCTTTCCTGCTCCTATGATGCTGCTTGGCCTGCTGTGTTCATTCAGCTCTACACCTTATTATCTCAGATTCTTCAGCATCTGCAGTTCCTACTATCTCACATTATTGAGTATCCGCAGCAGCACAGTTCGAGGCGGTGATGGAATCCCGAAGGGCAGTAATTACAGGAGCCTCTTTATACACAGTACTTACACATATTAAAATTCTATCACTATGGTGTTACACAGTTTTATCTATTGTACACAGAAGTTTATGTGACATTGTCCTGGGGAAGCAGGAGATTGTTTAAACCATTGCGAAGTGCTGGCTGCTAAACGGATTAGAGTGTCTGTCCGGTCTGCTTGCATAATTAAGAAGTGTTAGTCCTTTTATGTACTAAGTTAGTAAATGTTAGTAAAAATACTACACCTATACTATCTAAATAAGTTAGAAATTATAAATGCTCTGAATAAAAGTATAAAAGGATACTGTAGCTGGGTCGAGAGATTTTGTTTACTATTTGCCAGTGTGAGTTTCATTCATTCATGCAATTTCACAGAAGAGCTGTTATATAAGTAACTTTCGTGAAGTGGACAGAGCCTCTATTCAACATGTATTTAACAGGTACATGCTGGTGGAGGAAACTTGTTTGAAGTTCTACGACCTATTCAAATCCCGAGAGACGGTTGCTAAGGGGATGATTAATGTTATAATCTTTTCATAGTTTCGGGTGGGTCGTGGAGATATTATGGCGGTGAGGGTATTGTTTCTGAATAGGTTAGTAGTCTTTGATGTTTATTCAGAGATAGTTTTGAATGTAAATAGGTCTGATAAGGGTTGAAAGTGTGAAGAAGCAGTATTGGCGTGGGAAGGAACGTTTTAATTTAGTATATCTCGCAATACTAAAATGCACGACAAAAATCGCTGTTTAATGAATGAATGAAAACGCGTTATAGTAAACAGCGAGTTACTATCCAAACAGCGGGTTATGAATGACTGAATGGGAATGCGCTATTGGTAAATTATAGAATGATTGGGAATGCGGTAGTAGTGAAACAAAAAGCGACCTGGTGAGTGAGTTAGTAAAGATATAATGGCATGATATTGTATAATGTTGTGAGATACAATATCTCACAACATTAACTCGGATTTGTTTCCACAGATGCTGCCAGACCCGGTCTGCTTTTCCAGCAATTTCTGCTTTTGTTTCACAATTTCGCTGGATGTTGCTGATCAAATTTTGAAATTGTGTTCCCGATGATCCTCTGACAGGTATCATGCAATTTGCTCCTCGGCGAGAATCCCATTGCAATTTTCAGTAGAATAATGAAAAACAAAACTGGAGTGCAGTGAATGTAAGTGATTGGACCAAGCCAGTGCTTTGCTATTAACGGCTCAATGCCTCGCACTGACTCACAGCACTAGGGACCTGGGTTCGATTACAGCCTCGGACAACTGTCTGTGTGGAGTTTGCTCGTTCTCCCCGTGTCTGTGTGTGTTTCCTCCGGGTTCCTCCCACAGTCCAAAGATGTGCAGGGTAGGTGGATTGGCCATGGGAATTGCAGGGTAGTAGGGAGAGGTCAGTGGGTAGGCGTGGGTGTGATGCTTTACAGATGATCGGTGTGGATTCAAATTAAATTTGCAGATGTCATGGTAGGAAGAGATGAGATCTGCGGGGCAGGAGCAGACAGAAACGATGAGTCTGCCCGGGCAGTCTTGTTTGTGGGTTTTGGGAAGGAGATAGAAGCAAGCTGTGTGGGGTTGGGAGACTATCACCTTGGAGTCAGGAGGCGGGATCACCGGATGAAATGAGGTTGGTGACTGTAGTTGACAGAATGGCCTGATGTTGCATGGTGGGGACATGGTCTATGGGGAGATAGGAGGAGGTATTTGACAGCTGTCACTCAGCCTCTGCAATGTGCAGGTTGGTCCACCAGACAATAACAGCATCACACTGATTAGTAGACTTGTTTACAATGTCACAGTTGGATCTGAGAGCATGGAGAACAGTTAGTTCAGGGAAGTAGGTTGGAACGAGTAAGGGGTGGGGAGCAGAGAAATTGAGGCAAATAATGTCACGTCATCATTGTCAATGAACAGGTTAGGTGCAGGTAGCGACAAACAGAGAGAGGAAGGGTGGGGCTGGGGAAAGGCAGTGGGATGGTGTTAGGTGAATGTAAGTAGGGAGTGTTGGGTATTGGTCAGTGGGATGTGTGTGGCAGATTGGTGGGAGAGATGATGGATGGGTTGTGTCAGGTCAAGGAGGGTAGAGGGAGGATGAGTGGGGCTGGGGAAAGGTCGTTGGAGTGGTGATAGGTTGGTGCAGGTGGGGGGGGGGGGGGGGGGGGGGAATAGTGGTATTGGTCTGCCGGAAAGGTAGGGTGGATAGGTGGGGAAGAAGATGGACAGGTTGTGTCAGGTCAAGGAGGCAGGGGTGAGAGGGATGTTTGGATGTGGGATGTGGCTGGGGATGGGGAAACTCTAAAACTAGCGAATTCTATGTTAAGGTCATTGGGCTGTAGCCTCCCAAGGCAGAATATGAGGTGTTGCTCCTCCAGTTTGCGGGTGGTGTCATTGTGGCACTGAAGGAGGCCCAGGATGGACATGTCACTCAGGGAGTGGGAGGAGGAGTTAGAATGGTTGGTGACTGGAAGCTATTGTCGTTTGTCACAATCAGAGCACAGATGCTCCATGAAATGGTCCCCAAGTCTTCACTTGGTCCCACCGATGTAGAGGAGGCCACATCGGAAGCAACAGATATGGAAGGTTGGAGGTTTACAGGTGAACGCCTGTCAGAAAAGAAAGGTTTGCTTTGTACCTCAGATGGAGGTGAGGGGTGAGGTGTAAGGGCAGGTGTAGCACCTCCTGCGGTTGCAGGGAAAGGTGCCGAGTGTGGTAGGGTTAGTGGGGAGTGTAGAGTAGATGAGGGAATCCCAGAGTGAGCGGTCCCTATGAAAGGCAAATAGGGGTGGGAGGGAAATATCCATTTGGTCATAGCGTTGGATTCTAGGTGGCAGAAGCAGTGGAGAATGCTACGCTGGATGTGGAAGTTGGTGGGGTGATATGTCAGAACCAGGTGGTTTCTGTCTTTATTTTTGTTGGGGGGAGGAGGTTTGAGGGCAGAAGTGTGGGAAATGAAAGAGATGTGATTGAGGGCATTTTTGATCACTGGAGGGGGACCTGCGGTTCTTGAAATAGGAGGACATCTGGGACTTCTAGGAGTGGAACACTCCATCTTTTGGAGTAGATGCAGCGGAGGTGGAGGAATTGGAAGTAGCAGATCACATTCTTGCAGGAGGGTGGGTGAGAGGAGGTGTAGTCCAGGTAGCTCTGGGTGTCAGGGGGCTTGAAATTGATGTCAGTGTTGAGGCGATTACTGGAGATGGAGACAAAGAGGTTCAGGAAGGGGAGGGAGGTATCGGAGATGGTCCAGGTGAATCTGAGGTTGGGGAGAAAGGTGTTAGTAAAGTTGATGAACTGTTCAAGCTCCTCGTGGGAGCACGAGGCTGCACCAATACAGTCATCAATGTAATGGAGTGAGAGGCTTAGGATGGTGCCAGTGTAACAGTGGAAAAGGGACTGTTCCAAGTATCCCACGAAAAGGCAGACATTGCTCGGACCCATGCGGGTGCCCATGGCCACCCGCTTAGTTTGTAGGCAGTGTAGGTGGGGTTGGGGGAGGGCATGGAGTCAGGAGGAAGGGGTTGGGGGTGGGGGAGGTACCAGAGGGCGGTCAGTATCTCTGACTTTCATCTTGTGTGCCTTGATGCCTGAAAAGAAAAAAAATTGTTTCAGAGATAGTAGGAACTGCAGGTGCTGGAGAATCTGAGATAACAAGGTGTAGAGCTGGATGAACACAGCAGGCCAAGCAGCATCATAGGAGCAGAAAGGCTGACGTTTCGGGCCTAGACCCTTCTTCAGATGAACTCCTGCACCTTGTTGTCTCGGATTCTCCAGCACCTGCAGTTCCTACTATCTCTGATGTTGATAACAGTTTTGTTATTAACTCTGTGTCCCCCAAGTTTAATTCTCTCCTGGAATTCCCATTGTATTCCAGTTACAGTTCCATGTGGAGAGTGAGATAACAAGGTGTAGAGCTGGATGAACACAGCAGGCCAAGCAGCATCAGAGGAGCAGGAAGGCTTCAGGATAAACATGGGCAAGGAAACCTCCTGCTGATTACCACATGCAGTCCTCCCTCAGCTGATGAATCAGTCCTCCTCAATGTTGAACAACACTTAGAGGAAGCACTGAGGGTGGCATCAGCACAAAATGTACTCTGGGTGGGGGATTTTAATGTCCACCGCCAAGAGTGGCTGTGCAGCAGTACTACTGATCGAGCTGGTCAGGTCCTAAAGGACATAGCAGCTAGACTGGGTCTGTGGCAGGTGAAGAAACCAAAAAGAGGGAAAAACATACTTGACCTCGTCCTTACTAATCTGCCAGCTGCAGTTGCATCTGTCCATAACAGTAACGGTAAGAGTGACCATTGCATAAGTCCCACCTTCACATTGAGAAAAACCTCCATCTTGTTGTGTGGCTCTATCACCGTACTAAATGGGACAGACTTCGCACAGCTCTAGCAACTCAAGACTGGGCAAC